TGTTCACTTTTCTTTTATTGACAAAAACTTGTCTGTTGTTTAGAAAAACGATTCCTCATATCACATCCAATTTATAAAAGGATAGGTTTCATATCAAACATAAATGTTTTTTTATTTTAAATCATCCCGAACAAATCTCTTTTTTTTTTTTTTTTTTGAAAAAAAAAAATTAAGTTAATAAATTAATATATGTTCAAAATCAAAATCGAACTAAAGATCAGATGATTTTTACTTGAAGATCAAATAATTTTCACTTATTGTTTATGAAATAACGTAGTTCATTCATTGAATCACACGAGAAAGTTCATCGTTTTTATTAAAAGAGCATACTTAAATCCGTACATTATTTTAAAAACGTAGTTCAGAAAATAAGAAAAATATAGATAAAAGGTCATACCTACTGTACGAGTGTTAAAAATGATCTCATACCAGGTAAATCCGTTTTACCTATAATCAAGCACTCTATTATCATGCCGACGTGAAAATGATCAATATTGCGCCAGTAGCATATATAAGATAAAGTAATATGTATGCAAGTGTTTTGGACTATTATTGCCTAGCCTCTCCTAGGCCATTGTAGGAGATGTGAACCAGACATTTCTTTTAATTAGAACAGGCCTTATAGCCAATAAAAAGATGTAAGCTTAATTATTTCCTCAATCCTTCTAAAATTGCTGCTGTTTTGATGCCCCACCACCCAAAAGCAAGCTCTCCGCACCTTCCAAGCATGATCATTGATGACAGTAGGAAGGGAGCTGATGATTTGTATATTCGATTTGATCGATCCCACAAGAATTGCATTGAGATTGTGTGGCAGTAATTCCATTAACCCCTCCTATGTTACATTCTAGTCCTTAAACTATAGTAAAAGCATTCAATTAAATCATTAGCAGCCCCTAGTATGTTAGTAATATGTATCAAATATTTTAATTTATGTTAAATTTTAAATTTTTATTAAGACAATTGTAATATTTTTTTCCTTCCTTTAAAATTTTCTCTAATTCAAAAAAAAAATATTTGTTTAAAAATATTGATTGTTATATACTTTAATTATATAATACACACGTTAAAAGTGCGGCCCTGTGCGAAAGATATATTCCTCCTTTTCAGAAAGACGACCAAGACCATAAGCATAAAAGCAAGTCGATACCAATCACGTGTTGAAATTTTACTAGAAAAAACTTAGTTTTTTAAAATGGAGTTGGTATTTATCTGTTTTATTTTTAAAATTTTGAAAGAAATAAAAAAATATTTTAATTTATATTTCAAAAATAAAATATTTTAATATTTTTTAATAAATATTTATTAAAATTATATAATTTTAGAATCATAATTTTTTAATTTTTAAAAAATAAAATAGATAAATATTATTTTTTTAAAAATAAAATTTTAAAATTAAAATTTATAAATAAAGATAAATATTAAAAAAAAAATTATAACATAATTTGATTCAAAAGCAATTAGTATTTTATATAATTTTTGAATGTTAGAGATTTAATTAAAAAAATAATAAATCAAGTCAATATCAAGCGCTTTACCTTTAAAATGATTCAAATGTCACTTCACCGGAGACGCAGGTGCCTTTTATAACATAATTTGATTCAAAAGTAATTAGTATTTTACATAATTTTTGGATGTTAGAGATTTAATTAAAAAAATAATAAATCAAGTCAATATCAAGTCTTCGGCCATCGACCCTTTTTTCTTTTTTCTTTTTTTGAAAATAGGTAGTGGATCCTGACTCACCTCTTGCTCTGTACAAATATAAAGCAAGTAAATAGTTTTCGACCCTGACCTACCTTGCTGCCACTAGTGAGTCAATGACTCGGTGGTAGGGGTAGGAGGAGTGAAAACCAGGGGCTGATTTGACTTCACCAAGTACGGCCATGTGTTTCTACCCAAACAAAAAAGCGCAGCCCTGTGCAAAAGATATATTCCTCCTTTTCAGAAAAGATATACTCGACCTTTTCAGAAAGACGACCAAGACCATAACCATAAAAGCAAGTCGATACCAATCACGTATTGAAATTTAACTTAAAAAAAACTTAGTTTTTTAAAATGGAGTAAGTGTTTTTTTGTTTTATTTTTAAAAAATTAAAAAAATATATTTTAATTTAT